CCTTCCAGCTTCAGCTCTGGCGATCCCGATGCCAACAGAATCGCCAATGCATCATCAACACCTGTCAGTTGGTCTAGGACCTAAGAGTCTAGCCCTTTTTGTTGCTGAAACGAGTGGCGAAACCGCTCCAAATGCTGTTCACAAGCCTGGATCGGTGTCGATGAGGATGCGCCGAGCTGACGCGACCGTGAAACACAAAGGCTCTGGCCCCTGCTCCGAAGCCCGGGTGGCTTAGGGCAGCAGAAAACATTCACACTGGAAAACTGCTTCTTTCTACGAGTTCCTCCCTCTACTGATCTGTCTCTTCTTGCTCGAAGCCCAGTGCGAAAAAAGACAAGCAGTAAGTTGAGCCCTGGGCGTCTTGATGTAGCACAGCTGCCACAATCATTGCCACACGACATGCTCCCAGCGTCAAAAACGTGTGCCGTGCTGCCCTGCTTGCCAGCACAACCTACATGTTTGTGGAACACGACCACAACCAGACTACCACTACCAATACTTGTGACTGCGACTGGACTGCGACTGCGACCGGCTGGTACTGGAATGTGGCGCACTCGCAAAATACCACAGAGCCGATCGGAATGCCTGCATTTGGATGTGAAGCTCCGAGAGGATGCCGAAATCAGCTTGGCAAAACATCATGTCCTTTAGTAAGTCTGAGTCTCACGTAACCACATAGCATGCAGCACGGGTCGAGCACCAGACTGTGCTGTGATTTTGCTGCAGAACTGACCATGATCATGTTGAGTTGGTGGCATTGCATGATGGTCAGACCGAGCCAAAGCTGCAATGCAAGCAAACCGTTACAAGCCGTCTCAAAGGACCCTTTGGGTTCGAATGCTGATCGAACCCACACTGATCTTGACACTCAGCTGGCTCTTCTAACGTTGTGATTTGGGGTTCAACCCCGGCGCCCCTCATTCGAGCTTTGCAACACTAGCATTTTGAACCCGCATTGAACTGTGGCTCCTCAAAATTTCGGACCCCGGGTTCAAAACGAACGCAGGTGTTTAGGGTTTAGGGCGGACAAAGAAGAACATCACAAACACGGGCCAAATGGGCTTGCAATCCTTGGTGGCTGCCACATTCGCATTGCGGCTGAAACTACCGGGGGTGCATTGCTCAAGGAGAGCTTCTCTTTGCCAGGGTTGAGCCGAAAAACTGTAGCCAGGCTTTCGAGAACTTTGACATGCCTCCAACCATCCTACCTCCATTCCATATGTAACATAAACTTTGGTCACGAGTAGTGATCCGATGTGATCCGAAACTAAGAGGATTCACGTCCCCGTCCCCGCCTGCCTGACACTCTTCGATGCAACGCTCTTATGGCAATTTATGATTTCAATGGCAGTTCCTTTGTCGAGGAGAAAACAGAAATTGGTTTCCTCACAAAGCGAAGCAACAGCTACTCTTTCCTAGGTTTGAAATCAAAAATTGCCCGTCCAGGGCTTGAACCCGGACGGAACCCCTCGACTCCAGCATTCTCCCGAAGGTAACTTTGTTTCCACATTAACCCTTGAAGAAGGAACGCAAGTTCATGCTTTCTTGTGTTTGACTGACTACGACTACGACTGACCATACATTCAGAAGCATCAACAGTCCAAGCCAAAACCGACATTGACTGACTGACTTGTGTGGCCCGAACCAGTTACAAACGGACTGACTCGGTTTCCTTCGCTCCGGACTGTCAGTCCCGTACCGCTACTCTCGCTGCTTGTCCAAAGTGACACGTGAAAAAGCACAACATGTTGATTCCCTGTCCGAGACGTGCTGTACAAGTCAAAGGACAACGGAGAATGCTGCATGCCATGCGACACATATGCACAAGCGGGAAAACATGAGCTTGCCGAAGTCCCACTCACTCACAGCTCTCCCTGTTTGTGAAAAGTGAACCTGGTCGTGAGTAGCTGAACTGAGACTTCTCTACAAACTTCATTACCAAAATCTCGGCGATTCGTATCTGCACGTGTCTGCATGCGCAGTAGCTCGTGCACCTATTCCGCCTCTTCGCGCAAAATCAACCATGATAGGGTTTCACCACGTTCAAATAAGCGTCAATCACTTGCTGCTCCACCGCCAATGCAAAATCTCTCGCCGCCGCAGCACCGTCATCGCTCTCCACCAAGATTTCAGCTATCCACGTAGGCATGCCTTCTTCAGGCCCGAACACGCGGTCGCCCGGCTTGATGAGCGGCGTCACCCACAAGATGTCTTGTCTCGGCTTGAACGCCTCGAACATCTGTCGGTCGGGGATGCAGCCCCCGCGCGGCGCGTTGCAGAAGGTGTAGGCTACGGCCTTTTTGGGCACGTCTGCGGCGCATGGATTGCAGGGAATTCCGACAGCGATGAACAGTTGCTCCACCACCAGGTCGACGCCGAATGTGCGCTTATGGATTTTGCGGACAGGCCCGCCGCCCATCCGCGCATTCACCTCGATGAGCCGCGGCCCTCTCGACGTGTACTT